CTACCTGGTGGAGCATCTCACACCATACATTGCCAAGAGCAATACCCGATTCAGGAAAGCAATTTCAGTCGGCGAAAGACTCGCCGTAACTTTATGGTATCTGGCTACAGGAGATAGCATTTCAAGTTTAATGACGGTTTTTCTTATTGGTAAAACTACAATATGCCACATAGTACATGAAACATGTGCTGCTATTTTTACAGCATTGAAAGATCAGTTTTTAAAGGTGAGTATTTTGAAATTTATTTCGATCACTAGTGTGAATAAGATGGAATATGCATTCATTTATTTACATAGGTCCCAAATACCCCTGGACAATGGGCAGAAGTAGGAGATCAATTTGCAAAGCGTTGGAACTTTCCAAACTGTTGTGGTGCTTTGGACGGTAAGCACATAATGATACAGGCACCTGCTAACTGTGGCTCCGAATACTATAATTATAAAAAATTCAATAGTATTGTTTTAATGGCTTTGGTGGACGCAGAATATAAGTTTCTTTTTGTAGAAGTTGGAGCATACGGCCGCGAATCTGATGGAGGTGTTTTCGCAAGGCAAGTTTTGGACAATATATCCACCCATCTTATATTCATGTAATATTCATATTTATATGTGTTTTTTATTTTAGATGCACGCTTTCAACTGCTCTTGCTGACAACACTATTAATTTTCCACCCCGCAGACCACTACCGAATGAGGCAGATCCAATGCCATTTGTCATTATTGCAGACGATACCTTTCCGCTGAAATCATACATTTTGAAAACATTCTCTTATCGTGAACAAGTAATGTCGCATAAAATATTCAACTACAGATTATCACGAGCAAGAAACGTGGTTGAAAATGTGTTTGGCATATGCGCGGCACGGTTCAGGATCCTTAGAAGGCCAATGGATGTTAAACCTGAGAACGCAAAGACCATCGTTCTAGCAATTTGTGTTATACATAACTTTTTAATATCAACAAACTCATCCTATTTAACTAGAACCGACACTGACAATGAAATAAACGGAGAATTAGTGGCGGGTAATTGGCGATTAGAACTTGGACCAAACGGAAAGCTAATTTCACTTCGTGCAAGTACCACTCTGGATAGGCCAGCAGATGATGCAATAAATGTTCGAGCTGCTTTTATGGAGTATTTTATGACACCGTATGGAGAAGTCCCATGGCAATATAATAGAACGATTATTCACAACTCATTTTAAAAGTCAGTAACTTCGCTTAGATGAAATTTGTAGATGTTTTGTTAGTGTAATTCTTTGCAGTGTTATATTTACCCATATAACTAGTTTTTTAATTGATTTGCATTCTAATATTAACCAATTACATGGTGATTTTTTTTTACCATATTCTCGATGTTTTTCATGATAAATCGTTTAAATTAACGAAAATGTTTATCATGAAAAATATTGTGAACATTATAAAAAAAGTGGTATTTTTGTTTAATATTTGCAATGTTTTTCAAGTAAAATTTTTTTGTTATTTTTTTATTAAAATATCTATGGTTCATGCTTTCGTCAAAACCACATAAGTCAAACTTTCAAACTTTATGCAGACCTTAGAAAAATTCAACAAATTTTCATCTAAATTTTTAACTTTTTAATCTGAATTTTCAGAAAAATGCTGGGTACGCAGATAGATCGGCTAAGTAATTCTATTGAAACAAGTGCAAGTTTTAAGCGGAGTTGATTTTTAATGAATTTATATTTCCGACGGATTTTGCCGTTTTCTGCATATAACAAGTGCAATTTATGAAATATAGCGTTAATTTAAACTTGTTTTACTAGAATTACTTACACTTTACACTTTTGGAACTTACACTTGTTTTACTAGAATTACTTACCAGATCTATCTGCCAGCTCAAAATTTTTCTAAAAATTCAGATTAAAAAGTTCAAAATTTAGACGAAAATTCGTTGAATTTTTCTAAGGTCTGCATAAAGTTTGAAAGTTTGACTTATGTGGTTTTGACGAAAGCATGAACCACATTGTAACGGGTGATTTTTTTGAGGTTAGGATTTTCATGCATTAGTATTTGACAGATCACGTGGGATTTCAGACATGGTGTCAAAGAGAAAGATGCTCAGTATGCTTTGACATTTCATCATGAATAGACTTACTAACGAGCAACGCTTGCAAATCATTGAATTTTATTACCAAAATCAGTGTTCGGTTCGAAATGTGTTTATTTATGGTCTACATAATCGACCAAGTGAGCAAACAATTAATGCGATTGTGACCAAGTTTCGCACTCAGTTTACTTTATTGGACATTAAACCAACCACACGAATGCGTACAGTGCGTACAGAAGAGAATATTGCGTCTGTTTCTGAGAGTGTTGCTGAAGACCGTGAAATGTCGATTCGTCGCCGTTCGCAGCAATTGGGTAAAGCGAACCGAACACTGATTTTGGTAATAAAATTCAATGATTTGCAAGCGTTGGTCGTTAGTAAGTCTATTCATGATGAAATGTCAAAGCATACTGAGCATCTTTCTCTTTGACACCATGTCTGAAATCCCACGTGATCTGTCAAATACTAATGCATGAAAATCCTAACCTCAAAAAAATCACCCGTTAATAACAAAATAACAAAAAAAAATTTACTCGAAAAACATTGCAAATTTTAAACAAAAAACGTATGTTTATTTATTTCTTTTTACGAGTTTTCATTTAAGATATACTTTGATCAACAACATAAACAACATAAATAAGGGTTTCAAAAATTGCACAAGGCTCACAAACATGAATCAAATTTAAAAAAAATTTCATCAAAATTTCAAACTTTTTGTTCAGAATTTTTCGAAGAAAATTTTCGAGTTTGAAGAAAATTTTCGAGTTTGAAGTTTGGTTCATTTTTGTGAACTTGGTGCAATTTTTGAAACCCTTATTTATGTTGTTTCTATTGTTGATCAAACTATATCTTAAATGAAAACTCGTAAAAAGAAATAAATAAACATAAGTGGCAAATGATATCATTTAATATAAAAAAGCTGAAGTTGAATATTGTCTAAGACATACAATACAGAACGATTTCAAAACTATTTTGAAAAGAATTTAACTAACAAAAAAAAAACCAATTTCATTTTACATACTTACACATAAATATCCTTAACATACATACGTTTAAAAAGAAAATGAATTCAATTAAAAATTTTTACTTTTAATTACACATAAGAAATTGATTTAATTCAAAAGGCACATGAAGAAAATTCATCAAGATTTCTTAAAGTTAAAACTTGGGAAAAAATAAAAAAAATTTATTAAATTAAAATGGCACACGAAGAAAATTTACTAAAATGTCTTAAATCTATTTATTGTTGTTTTGAGATCATTGCCAGTAATTCGAGTTTGGCGCATTACTGTGGGCTGTGAAAAGAAGTGTAAATTTTTTTTAATTATCTTATTGTTATCGCTTTCTATAGCTTCCTGCATTTACCTTGCAAACTCCTTATGGTAGTTTAGTACAACCTCATTAATTGCAATCTTAAAACGTTTTGACAACTGAATGTTTTCGGCTGCGAATTCACGGTCATTTGATGCCACGAAATTGCCCATATCATCCCAAGGATCGCTTTTTGCAGCAGAATTCATCGTTTGCAAAGCGCTCTCAACAACCTTTGCATACTCGGAATCTTCTTGTCGTTGGCGCTTTGTCGAGGCTTTTGTTGACTTAGGTTGCACGATTTCTTCTTCGAGAAATTCAGGGTCAAAAAGGGATTGCTCTTGCGAAGGTTCGTTTATCTTTAAAGTAAATAAGTTAATAAAATATAATTAAGATAAACTTCTTAACTAAACTTACATCTATTAAATTTGATGTTGTGGATGCCTCAACACGCAAAGGGGGCTCCAGAAATTTTAAAGCATTGTAAAATGGGTTTGAAGAAACCGTCTTTGTAGCACCCTGTCCGCTCTTACTCGCTCCTATCCTGTTAAACGATGCCTAGATTTGCATAAAATTTAATTAAAACTAATGCCATAAAAACCATAGAAAACGTACGCGGAAACCACAACGCAGGCTATTCCACTTTGTTGTTACTTCTGCTCGTGGTAACTCCAATACGTCGGGCACCTCTTGCCACAGAGCTTCTCTAAGGTTCCGGTCCCTGTACTCTTTGACCAAATAGTTCCAGGTGCCTTCCCTGATCTCGACTGCCTCAATAAGCTTCATGGTTTCTTGGCTCGTCCACTGATGCTGCAACCTCCGCACTGTTTTTTTACTTGTGACTTCACTGGGGCTTGATAATATAGGCTCCAAGTCCAATGTCTCTTTTTCCATCTTAATCTAAATATAAATAACAATTTAAAAACTAAATAAAGATGTTTTTAAGTTCGTACCATTGTTTCTTTCTTTTATGTTACTTCCCGCTCAAAAATCAGCTGTTTCTTTGTCGAATTTGCCAACATGTTGGCAAATGGATTTTTAATGTCAAATGTTGGCCTATCAGTCAATTTCCGAAAATGTGGGCATTCTCACTTGACTGCCATTCCGTTTGATTCCGTACAGATTTGTGCATTTTTCTGCCACAGAGTGATGCTGTTTAGAAATTTGAGTTCAGCTCAATAAAATAATTTCCGAACAACACCACTCTGTACCTACCAAAATCTACAAATCTGTGTAAATGTGCAAATCGTGTGATCCCTGCTTAACAGGCGATATGTAATCACCAGGGAACGGATTTTTAGGACCTAAAAACCTATAAAAAAGGTAAAATAAAATAACTTAGTAGGCTGGAAAAGGCAAAATAAAATAGCGAAAAAGGCAGGAAAAGGCACTAGGTATTGCAAAAAAAGCAAAATAAGGCAGAAAATACAAAGAACAATCAAAAAATACGTTTATTTTAGAAATGTTTATATTACAAGTAAAAAGAGAAAAACTATGAACTAGTTTCATTATATGAAAAATGTGTACTTTGAATCTTTGACTATTTTATCCTTTCGAGTTCCTAACTCATAAAACTTGAATCTGTATAGTAGTAGTAACATTGAACCACAAGATGCATTTTGAAGTTTTCTGGCAGCATTTTCATTCGATTTTCGCGAAGAAAAGCCTTGAATGTAGTAAATGTGCGCTCGACGCAAGTTGATACAAGTGGAGCCCAATTTAAATATGGAACGTTTGAAACGTTCATATTATCAGGAATAAGGGCGTTTTCCTCGCCCTTTACAATTTTATCCCCACCCCTTATTGTCTCCAAGCCTACGTTAGCTGAGAAAACGGCTTTGAATTTTTCCAACACCAATTTGGCAAGAGGTCCCTGCGCTTCTATAAGCCGCATGGGCATGTGTATATTTTTTATTCTTAAAAAAAAATTGTAAATGCTATAACCACTTTTTTAAAGGTAGAAAAGGCAAAAAAAGGCAAATATCTTAAAAAAGGCAAATATCTTAAAAAAGGCAAAAAAAGGCAACATCAAATGTGTATATATGGAATCAGGGAAAGCTAAATCGTGGACATTCTTAATCGAATATACTCTATCTCTTTAGCAGAAAAAAAGGCAATTTCCATAAAATCCGTTCCCTGGTAATCACTATTGACGGCATATCTTCTACATCTTTTTTTGCTTTTTCTGGGATTCCTCAAGGAAGTATTTTAGGCCCTTTACTTTTCACTCGGTTTATTAACGATGTAAGTATCTGTTTTTCCTTCGCTAATTATTTGCTATATGCAGATGATTTAAAATTTTTTTTTTTAAAAGATCTTAGCGACATGTATAAACTTCAAACTGATCTTGATAATTTGTATCTCTGGTGTACTAAAAATCACCTTTTTTGAATATTGAGAAATGCTTCAAAATTACTTTTACAAAAATTCATAATGTTTTTTTGAGTCGTTACAGTATTTCTAACTCTGTTAGAAACTGTTGAGGAAACAAAAGATCTTGGCATTATTTTTTCATCGAATTTAACATTTAATAGTCATATTGGTCACATTGTTAGGAAATCTTACTCAGCTCTAGGCTTCGTCAGGCGGAACTGTGCACAATTCTCTGATCCATATACCCTTAAACTGCTATATACATACGTCTTTCATACGTTCCACTTTGGAATATGATACGTTCATTTGGAGGCCATATCATGATAATTCTATTCATCGCGCGTTCCATAAATTTGCTTTGAACTTTTCTGAACCTACGCCTTCTTATAACTCTTGCTTGCTTCTAATAAACCTTAAGACCTTAGGCTCTCTCCATTATACTTTTTTATTAGACCGTATCGTGTCGTGTCGTGTTCCGTTTACGTGTCTTTGCCTTTTTATTAGGGGAATTGGAAAACCGAATATGCACGTAATGCCCCTATTGCACGCGCACTTAGTGATTTAAATAAGGTCTCGAGTTCTGTCTCAATTGATTTTTCCTTACAAAAATATATATCTGTCAATATTGAATTGTTATTTCTAATTTCCTTATTTTTCTAGGGTTTTGTTCTTATACACATTTTTACATATGTATTTATCTAGCGAACTTAGTAATAACTTTCGGTTTGCCTATAGTCCGCAAGAATACTCTATTCCTTAGACTAACCCTTCTATTCTAACAGAGTCACAAAACTTAGCTCATCACTGTTGTGATTTCTATTGCGCCGAGAAATGTCTCACAAAAAATCGATTTTGAGGTGCTAGAAAAATACACAAAAATTTAAAAATTTTTATTGTAGCGACATATTTTTTGCAGCGGCGAGCTTTGAGGCGCAGTAGAAATCACAGAAGTGATGAGCTAAAGTTTGTGACTTTGTTAGAATACGGCTGTAAGTTAACTTAAACAAATTCTAAAACAGCCAAAGGATTGAGAATGAAGAATTATTTCTAAACAGCTTAAGAAAAACCTGACAAATCTGGTTTGGCTTGTAAGCTTGTAATAAGTGAAGATGAAAGTCAGGAGGATCCCGAATAACACAACAAGTTTTATAAGAGGTTTTTAGTTGCATCCTTCCGCAAAATTTAAGAACAAATGTTTTACCATTTTGCTCTATAAAAGTCTTTAAAACCCTTATAAGATTAAAAGGGCCCCAGGAGGCGGGGATTGATAGTACAAAATAATACTCTATTATTAGTTTAAAAACCGTAGTTAGGTAGTTTTATAAGGATCTTAAAGTATCTACAACATGAGTTTATAAAACGTTTAAAAGTTTTATGAGCCCCTCTGTGTAAAGCCGTTGGTCTGACACTGATTAAAAGTAGGGATGTCGGAAATCATCGATGCATCGAAAATATCCATGTTTTCAAGGCGAATTTATACAAGGTGGTGTTGATGGCTAATTTAGATTTTCGCCGCGGTACTTCCTAATGTGAAAATGATTTGTTTGTTGTAAACAAGGCGAATTCATATTACAACAAACACACCATTTTGACATTGAGAAAGTACCGCAGTGAATATCTAAATTCGCCATTAACACCACCTTGTATAAATTCGCCTTGCATGTTTTGCTTCGATGCATCGACAATTTTCCACTCGATGTATAAATAGTAGATGTATCGATGCATCGATGTTTTTTGAAAACTGACATTTCTAGTACATTGCACCATCATTACAGTTTTTTAATTGTACAAAAGAGAGAAGTGGCTTTGACCAAAAAATTTAAATGGCTATAAAAAGTTCCGTTAGAAACATAATTAGCTCAGTTGCAGTAATTTATTTTAAATTTTGTACAATTTTGCTAATAACATGCACCCCTATTGCGAGTGTCGACTAGTAGTAGATAAACGACTATTATTCGATTATTGCTTTTCCATGGTATTGTGAATGTCGATTTCTCGTTCAATAAGCGACTGTGAATAATTTTTTATCGTTCTTTTTTCTACAACTGATTGTTTGTAGAAGGATGAGGAACTATAAACTATTCACACGCACTTATTGAACGAGAAAACGACTTTGAAAATACCACGAATAATTAATAATCGACTAACAGTCGTTTATCTACTACTTGTCGACAATCGCAAGAGCGGTGATGTTTTGTTGTGAAACAATCATACCTATTACGGTATCCGACGAATGCCATCGGCACGGATCTAATCAGATAATATGAAAAACGACATCGGTGCAGCTATATATTCCGCGTCATCGCCGCCATTCTCATTGATGAACTTTTCTGAAAAAAATTTAATACATTTTTAATTGAATGTTAAACTAAGAAAGGATAAGGAGAACTCATCATTTGAAGACTCGAATGCTCCACCGATTAGCTCAGCGGGTCCTGGATTGGATTTTTTTTTACCGCATTGGTTTTATTTAATTTTTTCTTTTAATAATATATTTTAAAAAACGTAAACACGTTTGAAAAAATGTTATATTTACTGCTTCATGTCGTTGGCATTTGCATTTCATTTATAAGTTTAAGTTATTTATAAACATTCGCTCTCAAAACTCATTAAGGGTTTATTTGGAAAAACTTTTAATGAGCTTAATATTAAAAATGTTTATTTAACGCTTATTATAGCAAACTTACTTAAAGTTATTTTTAAAAACATTTACTGAAATGCTTGTTTGGTGTTTGTAAACTACTACATAGAATGAAGTGCCATATCAAACAGGGCCGGTTCGGGCAATTCAACAAACAAACAAAAATTTGACGGTCTCATGTTTCCTTCACGCTGAAATGTATATCGAGCCCTAGCCGCGAAAATGAATAAGACAACTTTTTTCAAAATTTAATTTTGATGCATAAATGCCTCTCAGAGCACCTGCATCAAAAAGTAAATTTAAAAAAATATCGTCGTTTAAAGTACAAAACCGCGTATCGTCATTCTGCAAAACCGCGTAACTGACATTGGCTGCCAAAAATTTTATTTGCTCACACAAGCTCTTGGCTCCTTAAATATACTAGCCAGAAATGCGATTGCTTTATAAAAAAGAGAACCATTTTGAAATATGAGTGTTTTTACGCTCTATAAAAGAATTTCTACAGCTTCACATACGCGGTTTTGCATTTTGCTGATACGTGGTTTTGCATTTTGTTGAAACGCGGTTTTGCACTTTAAACGACGATGTAC